GAGTGAATCTGTGGCAGGTTTTGAGTCTAATGTCTCAAAGACAAGTCAGCAGTTCTTGGGAATTTTTCATTTCATCCCAGAGAGAGAGAGAGAGAGAGAGAGAGAGAGGCAGAGACAGAGGCAGAGACAGAGGCGCAGAGAGAGATAGCGGCAGAGAGAGAGGGAGATGGAGAGGGAGAGAGAGAGAGAGAGAGAGAGAGAGAGAGAGAGAGAGAATAAACACTGGTGAAGGGACAGATGGGTGTTAGAACATCCTATGACTGAAACCTGATCACAAACAACTTTGTAACTGTTGTTACATGTACATGTTTAATTGTATCTCATGGTGATTCAATTAAAAAAAAAATTCCATTTCAGGCCTGAAGCTGTAAGTCGGTTGGCTGTTTTGCATGCAGGAGGCCTGGGTTGAATTCTGAGCACTGCCAGGAATGAGTCCTCAGCACAGGGAGTAACCCCGAACATAACTGGGCCGGGCCATTTCAGATTCACTTTCTGTGCTTCATGGGTCCTCAAACCTCCCTCTTTTGAAGTTCATGCAAACGCAGCTGATAAAACCGTAGGTATGAGAGAAGTGTCGCAGAAAGCACGGTCTCCTGGCAATGCTAAGAGCTATCAGGACCCTGACACCTGTTCCTGGAGCACGTCCCAGGAGGAGCAGGTGGGCGTGGGGTTGTTCTTAGGTCGTGCTGACATCAGGCCACTCTTTCTCCTCAAAATATCTCGTTCTACATTCGTGGAGGGGTGAGTCCAAAAGTAGTGCAGGTGAACTGCAGCCTGGCCAGGAGACAGGTTTCCGGGTGTCCCTGCCATGAATCCAGTGAGGTGGCCTTGCACAGGTCACTTTCCCTGTATAAATCCCTAGCGCTGCACAGACGTATAAGACCCCTCTCTTACCTCTGGGGCTAGTCTCCTTAGGAAGAGCTACCACTGTATGCAGGCCACAGAAAGCCACAGCAGGCAGACCACGGAAACCCATGGCACACATGCCATCGAAACCCACGGCAGGCCGGCCACAGAAACCCACAGGCAGAGCCGACAGTGAGTGCTTGTCTGAAGATGCTCCTGGGTTTACAAAGAAACTCTTTTGGGAGATGAACTGGTGGCCAGTGCTAAGGTACCCTCGGCCAGTAGTCCCTCCTCAGCCACCACTGGGAGTGATTTTGGGGAACAGCGGGACCGTGGCACTGCATTCCCCGTGGATGGTGTCTGTGTGACTGAGGCTGCCTTCCCAAGCGGCCTGACAGCGGGGCTGGGCTTGGGGGTCCTTGCAGGCTTGTCGGGGCTCAGGTAATAGTTCCAGAAGCCACCCGGCACAGTGTGTGAGCAGCCGCTCACTGCTGTTAGCTAGGGTCCCAACCCCAAGACTCCACTGCAGTTTTGGTTTTTAGGATGCACTGGTGGTGCTCCTGGCTCTGCACTCAGGGGTCACTCCTAGCAGGGATTGGAGGATCAGAGGGATGTCGGGAATTGAACCCTGGGTAGATTACGTGCAAAGCGATGCCCTCCCTGCTGTATTCTCACTCTGTGCCCCTCCCCCCCATCCCTAAAGAAACTCTTTTGGAAGGAACATCATGGGAGCCAATGGCCATCACAGGAGACAAATGGCATTTCCCCTGGGCTTCCTCCGGACCGTGTGTGGGTGACATCTTGACACACCGAACCCTCTTTGTGGCACTACTGAGTCTCTACCAGAAGGTGCTATTCTTTCCCCCGCAAGGAAAGGCTCAGAGAGATTAAGTCACTTCTCCAAAGTCACACAGCATGGACGGGGGCTGGGAACCCAAGCCCTTTCCCTCTGAGTGAGACGGGGTTTCCAGGGGGCTGTGGGCTCACGGTGAGTCTTGGCTTGGTTCAAAGTTTCAGACCACGGAGGGGAAGGTGGGAATGATGGGTTCACTTCTGTTAGACCGTGTCAGCTCTTTGCTGGACCTGAGCTGCCTGCTGACCGCCTCCAGAAATGTCCAGCCAACAGACATGGGTGTCTGTGAGTTCCCTCTGCCAGCCAACACCAGGAGTGGGGACATTGGCAGGGAGGCCTGGCTTAGGGGAAGGTGCTTCAACCCCCAAGCCAGTGGCTTCACCCATCTGCCCTCTAGGGCCTGGCACAGCCACCTACAAGAACCCCAAAGTATTATTGTTAGTTTTAGGCTAGAGCGATAGCATAATGGTAGGGCGTTTGCCTTGAGGGCAGCCATCCTGGCCCAGCCGGGTTCGATTTCTCCGCCCCTCTCGGAGAGCCCGGCAAGCTACCGAGAGTATCTCACCCACACGGCAAAGCCCGGCAAGCTCCCCATGGCCTATTCGATATGCCAAACACAGTAACAACAAGTCTCAAAATAGAGACATTACTGGGCCCGCTAGAGCAAATTGATGAACAATGGTAGGACAGTGCTACAGTGCTAGGGCCCCCCCTCAATGGTACTCAGGGCTTGCTCCTGGTTCTGTGCTCAGGGATCACTCCTGGTGGGGTGCCGGGGATCGAACCCAGGTTGGCCGCGTGCAAGGCAAGTGCCCTCCCCAATGTCCTACTCCAGCATCCCCAAGTTGCACCGGATTATTGAGAAATTCTCCACCTTAGTGGGGAGAGGCCCGAGGCAGCCCCTAGCTACCCACCCCTGGGCTTCATGCACAACTGGCTTCCAGAAGCTTCCAGAAGATGGTGAACCTCAGGGCTCTGGGACCGGGAGTTTTCTTCTTCCATTGATGTATCATGACCAGAGTGAAAAAAAGAAGGGCATCGTGAGGGCTTTGGGGAAAAGGCTGGGGGGGGGGGTTGGGGGGAGAGGGGGGCCGCTCCAGGCATTCTGTAAAGAGGGGGGATTGTGAAAAAAGGGGGCCTCAGCGGGGTGCAGGGCTCTGAATGTGCCCTCGTCTGGGGGCCTTACAGCTGAAACCTGGTGCTGGGGGGTGGCGTTCAGATCAAACTGTCACCTTCGGTTCTGCCTGCCTTTTCTGCCCTCAGCCCTGAACCTCAACAGACTGGGGCTTATTTACCTATTCACACTCGGCCGTGGAAGCCTCATTAACTGGCTTATTAGCAACACCATTCACGGGAGGCCATTGACAAAAGGGGTTCCAGCCACTTGAAGAGGAAAGGGGGAGGGAAAAAAAAACTATAAAGAGATTATTTTCTCATTCAGAAGCCTCGCTGGTGTGAAAGCTTCCCTGGACCCTCTGAGGTCACTTGAAGCCTAAATATGATGACAGAATGAGTTTGAAAAAAAAAAATTCCAAACATGCTTTTTTTTTTTTTTTGGCTTTTCTGCAAGCCGGAGCGTTGGCTGCCGCGGGCTCAGTGCACTTAGCAAGTGGTCCTCGGGGGAAGGAGGGCGCTTTTGATGGATGGGTGTCTTTTCATCCCCATCTAGAATACATTCCGGGCGCTGTGGGGACATGAAAGTCGATGTCCTTATTTGTCATGTTCGTGGAAGGCTTCCTTTTCATTCAGCCTCCATCAAGCTCGTGATGAATGGAGACAGGGACACCCTCTTCCTGGAGCGGTAATTTATGTGGGAATGTGTGAGCGGCGTTTTCAATGGCCGATGGGCTGATGGGCCCGTCCCGAGACCCCCGGATTCCCCATTGGTGGGGAATATAAAGATGTAAGTGCCAGCCCCCAGGCAGGCCACTCAGCCACCTCTTTTTTAGGGACCCAAGGTCTGGGAACTTGGAAAACTCCTGACAGGATCTGCACCCCCGGGTGCCATGGAAGGCCAGGGGTCACCTCGCTGACTCTCAGCTCATTGACGAGGTCCTGGGACTGGTCCAGATTGGAGGCTGGACCCAGACTCTTTTCTTTCCTTCTTTTCTTCTTTTGGGGGTGGGTGGGGAGAGGGAGGTGTCACACCCCGGGATGCTCAGGGCCTACAAATGGCCCAGTGCTCAGGGCGTCTTTGCGCGATGCTCAGGGTTGGAACCCGGGCCTCCTGCGCGTGCCCCAGACTCTTTTGCTCTCTCTGGCCCTGGATGCCAAGTTCACCTGAGACTGTGTACCAAGGCCGGGCGGGAGAACCCGACTGTGATTTGGCTGTTGGTTTCCAAAATCTCATTTCAGAAGCCTTGGTTCTATTCCTTTGAAGTCATTTTGCGCGCAAGTTTCCGATGGTGAAGAAAAGGGATCTTCTGGGGCACCCTGAGAAAATATTTTTGGAAATGTTAGGAAGGGTGCCATGCCCGTGACCCATGAACGCCGGCATTTCTCCAAGCGGGAAAGCGACTTTTCCAGGCCAGGTTGGAGCTGACCGCTCCAGGCCTTGAAGACACTGAACCGGCTCTTGTGGATGTAATGACCTTTACTGAGGGAAAACAATGAAGGTGTTTATACTGTCTGTGCCTTAAGCATGACTGCTTAGGGGCTGGATGGGTGAGGAGGCAGAGAACATGTATTAAAAAATACATTATGCCATAGACACAGCCCAGTGCAAAAGATAACCAGGAAGCCGGCCCGGCAGGGGCTCTGACGAATCTGATTTTGCAGGTGAAGAAGCCAGGGAGAAGAATCGATTTGCAGAATGTCATGCAGCTATTTTTAAGAGTGGAGGAGTGAAACTATTTGGTTTCTTTCCTTCTTTGGGTGGGGGGTGTGGGGGGGCGCATCAGGGCTCTTGGGGGAGACTCCTGGGGTTCAGAGGTTGCTCTGGAAGGCGCTGGGGGGGTGTGTGGGGATGGAACTGGGCCTTCCCCAAAGGCAAAGCGAGATCCACTAACCCACCCAGAAGTTCTTCTCATTGACCCGATATTTGTAACCAAGTAACAATCTTGTCATTGTTGCAACTTTTGCTTTTCTGTTTGCTGGCGCGGTTTTTGGGCCCCACGGGGCCGCCAAGCGATGCTCGGGGGTCCCTCCTGGCTCTGCACTCAGGGCTCACTCCTAGCGGCGCTCAGGGGGGCCAGAGGGGATCCTGGGGACCCGAACCCCAGGGTGGGCTGCGTGCCAGGCCAGCGGCCCTCCCCGCTGTGCTCCCCTCCCGGGTCGCCCCCCTCCCCCCCCCCCCGACTCATCAGTTTCCTGGGGACACGACTTCGCCCCTCTCCCGCTCGTCCCTGCCAGAGGGGCCCGGGTGAACGGCGTTCCCGGGTGGGGTGGTGGGCCCCGGCCCACGGAGACGCCGGGTCGCCAGTCTCGGGTGGCGGGGGGGGGGGTTGGGCGGCGCGGCGTCCGGGCGGTCGTCGGGTCCGCGGCTGCTCTGCCCGGGAGCCGCGCGCGCGCGCGGCGGCGGCGGCGGCGGCGGCGGGGCGAGGCCGTGGGCCCGCGGGGTCCCCGCCGGGGGGTCGGGCCGGCCGCGGCGCGGCGCTGATTGGCCGCGCGGGCGCCGCCGTCCAGGAAACGGCTCGGGTTTCAGCGGGGGCGTGGCGGGCCGGGCGCGGCGGGGAGCGCCCGGAGAGCGGCGCGGGCGGCCGGCGGGTGCGGAGCGGGCTCGGGCGCCGCGGGGTCTGCGCGCGCGGCGACTCCTCTGCAGGCGGCGGGGCCCGCGCGCCCGAGCCTCGGCGGGTGGCCGGCCCAGTCCGGGCAGGGGGGCGGGGGAGAGCGCCCGGCCCGCGCGTCCTTTCTTCCTCCGGCTCCCGGGACCCCGGGGCAGCCGGCGGGCGACGTGCCCGCGCTCCTCCGCGGCGCGGGGTGCGCGTGAGGCCGCGGCGCCCGCCGGAGCAGCCCGCGAGCTCTTGGCTTTCCATCATCATCATCATCATCACCGTCACCACCATCATCATCATTCTTCTTGGCGCTTGTTTTTGGTGGTTGGGTGTTTTCTATTTTATTTATTTATTTGTTTCTTCCCCACTTCTTTGGAGTTTGCTCCGAACCGGTCCGCCTGCTGCATCCCCGCCGGGCGCGGGGACAGAACTGCGCGCCCAGGACTATTGCCATTCAAGGTAATCTCCGGGGAGCGTCGCCAGCCGGGACCGCGGGCACCGGCGCGGTCACCCCCCGCCGCCGGGGGACGCGTCCGCGGCCGTCACCCCCTTGCCAGAGGCTGACATCTGCCGCTGCCACCCCCTTCCCGCCCCGCTGTCAAGCGCCGGCCAGCTCGGTGCGGCGGGCGCGGTGCCCCGGCCGGCCCCGGGGCGGATGGCCAGTGGCGGGGACTGCCCGGCCGGGGTGTGTGCGTGCATGTGTGTGTGCGTGCGTGCGCGTGTGTGTGTGTGCATGTGTGAGTGTGCGTGTGTGTGTATGTATGTATGGGTGGGTGGGTGCGCACGGCCCCCGCGCAGGGCGCTGGGCTTCCCCAGGGGCTCCGGATCGCTGCCCCGGCCGGCGGGGGGGAAACCGCTGGGGTGGGGTCGGCGCCTTGTCCGAGGAGACGGCGCGTCCCGGCTGGGCACGGCGGGGCCCGCGGCCTGCGTGTGCGCGCGCGAGTGTGGACGCTCCGGTCCCGACTCCGGTGCCCGGCGCCCGCCCGTCGGCGCCCGAGCCAGCGCCGCGCGCCCGGGGCTAGGGGGCGAGCTGGACCGACTTTTCCGAGGTGTCTGCCTGCTGCACCCCCGGCGGCCGCTCGAGGATGTCGAAAGCGCCGGCGAGTTGGAACTTGCGCGCTCATTCTTCTGGCGACCGGCCGGCGCGGGAGAAGCGGCTCAGGGCCCCGCGGGGCGCGGGCTCCCACCCTCGCCGCGCACACCCCCGGCCCCCCTCCGCCCCCCAAGGGCCAGAACCCGGGCACCGAGCTCCTGGCTTCCCTCGAAGCCCGTGCCTTTAGCCAAGCCTTCTCCCCCGCCGCCCCGGGTCTGCCTTCCACGGGCGCAGGTCGGTCCGATCCAGCCTCCCGGGCAGACCTGCTTTCTCTCGGGAGGGCCACATTAGGTGTTGGGCGTGAAGCATTATCAACATTTAAAACCCCGATTGTGACCCCCCCACCCCCTCGCCCCGTCCCAATCCCAAATCCCTGTAAATCTTCCCCTGGCGTCGGCTCATTTTCATCTGAAAAGCCTGTTTAGTTTGAATAGAAAAGCAATCAGGCGCCCCTCTCCCTCTCCCGGGAATGTCAATTAAAATGCAGATTTTCTCCCCCCTGAGCTCTTTAGAGCCCAAGGAGGACATAAAACTCCGATATTTCAGGCCTGCAAATGAAAGAAAGCAGTGCTTCAGTGAAACCGTGCTTGGTGCTGGGGAAGGTCCACCCCGAGCTGCCAGTTCTCACTTTCTTGCAAACTTTAACCGTCAGTGAATGGGGGCTGTGGTCTGGCCAGTCTGTACAGTGTGTGTGTGTGTGTGTGTGTGTGTGTGTGTGTGTGTGTGTTTATAAACTAAAAAAGAAATGTTTGTGTTAAGGAATCCCCTTTGGGGGTGAAGAGTGCTCCTCAAAACCTTTCCTGCACCCCTGATTCAACTTGTTGATAGCTCCCCGCCTTGGCGACCAGAGAGGCCTTTTGGGGTGGGGGTACCTGGGCATCCCCTCTTTGCTGGCACTTGTGGACTCTGGCTGAGCCGCGGAGTCCAAGTGCTGAGTGTGGGACGCCCCCCGTGGGTCCCAGGAGCCTCAGGCGCCTGTCTCTGCAGCCTCAGTATTGGCTTGCCTCTGTGCGGTGTGGGAGCTTTGCGAAAGTTCTGGTAAACCGAGGAGCCCGTTGTGGTGCTGGTGGAGGCGGGGAGGGGACTATCTCAAAGCCTGGCACTGTCACTTGTCACTGCTGACTTTCCCCGGGATGAAGCTGGAGCCGGGGAGCCCTGTCACCTGCGGGGGTCGGGAGGAGCGTTCCCTTACAAGGTGAACACGCTCTCACTCAGGGCCGGTTCCGGGAAGGATTGTGGTATTGAAGGCAGGAAGTCACAGCGTGCCGGGCCTGTGTTTCCAACGCCGAGCCTGGGACCTGATTATCCTGCCTTACCTTTGTCTGGGCCTTCCGAGACAAGAAGCGATCCCGGCAGGGTCTGGAGCTGGAAGTGGCTGACTTGGGAGTTTCTGGCGCTAGTGGATGGGTGGACTGAAAGGCTTGGGCGGTCACTGTCCGACTTCCTCAGCCTGGAGCAGAACAGGAGCCTCTGAAATGCTTGGGCAGGTGAGGGGAGCAAGCCCAGGCTGACATCACCTTGCCAGGACTTCAGATTGCTCTGAAGTGTCGGCGGAGGCCAGAGATTCTCATGCATTCATGCATTCTGGAAATGCTTAAAATCTATGGGGGGGGTGTGCAACTCACCCCCCCCCCCACCCCCCTGTGTGTGTGTGTGGAGGACTAGGACAGAATTCTCTTCTGAGGAGTTTAACTTGGGGGGATAAAAGTTAGGAGGGAGGGAAATCCTTCCAGCAGCTTGAGAACGGGACTTTGCCTACAGGTGTGCACACTCGTGTACACACACACACACACACACACACACACACACGACCTTTGCTGTGCATCACGCCCGTTCCCATGGGCTTGGTGCGGAGCCCAGACTGTCTTTATTCCTGTTTTGGGAATAGGACAGCATCCTCCTGTACCCGTTTGATTCCTTAGTCAAAGCTAAAAGGCTTTGGGGGGCGGGGGGGGGGGATTCAGGCAGTGTTGAAATCCTGCGTCATCGTCTAGAACATGAAGCAAGCAAGTAGAGCAGCACTTTCAGAGATGTCTTACATGAAAGGGCCCACCCCAGCCTCATAAAATGTGGTTCATGCGTCTCGTTCCCAGATTGTAACATTCTCAAGTCCGTGCACCTCCGCTCTTAGTAACCGAGGCGACTGAGCCCATGCAAAGTTGCTTGGCGTATTTTCAGCTTGGAAAAATTCTCTTTGCCTTTTGGAGCAAAGGGGGACAGAGAAGAGTCATGAGTTGAGCGCCCCCTGGTACAATTTCTCCTCCGATCCCTCAGCCAATCGGTCGGCGCGGGGAAGATTCCCGACCCAATCATGGCTGGTGACAAGCCCCATCCCCTCCTTATGTAAATCATCATCATTCATAAGCAGCAGGGCTCCGCAGAGTCCGGAGAGGTCTGAACCCGCTGGGGTGGGTTCACCCGACTGGAGCTGGCGGTCCCCTGCCCACCCCCCCCCCACCCCCCCTCCACCCCCCACCGTCCCCCGCACTTGGGATCAGCTGCTTCGAATGCATTGCAGTTTCGGTTCAGACCTCGTAAGTGGCTGCTTGGCCAAAAGATTGAAATACATTTCTGCCTTTGACAATGAATCTTGACAAGTGTAAACTGGCGGGAGTGTTTCCTAGCCTTCCCGGGCTTCTCTCTGCCTTTTTGCTCGGCTCCCAGCTTTCCCGAGAGCTCCAGCGAGGGCGGAGCTACCCCCTGGGCTCCATCTGTGTGCAGCCGCTTTCCCGGGCAGCCTGCTAAAGTCTCAGTGGCCTGGAAGAAAGAAGCGAGGGAGCAAGGAGGCTGCTTTTGCCAGCCCGAGCCCGAGCTGCTTGGCTTTTGCTCTTGCCCTTGAAAACTAAGGTCATGTCACCTCCGGGGTGATCGCGGAGAGAAGAGCGTGCGCCTGGCGGGGACTCAAGTGGCCGCGCGTCCCTGTCCCCTTAGCTGCTCTCTTTCTCTGTTGCTCGGAAGTCTGCTTCTGCGAAGATCGGCCCCGCACGTTTGGCTGGGGGTCCCCCCCTTGGACACACCTGCCCCCACCCCCCCAGCTGCCGATGGGAGCACCTTTTGCAGAGAGCGGTGCGCGTGTGTGATTGCCAAGGCTGCCGAGTGGCCGTGTGTGTCCCTCTGGGGTTGGACGGCGCTGCTTTGGGGGAAGATTCCACTGACTCGCCCGTCTCTCTCCTCCAGAGGCTGCAGCTGTGCGCTGGCCGCACCTTTTGCTTCGTGAGCTGCCCGCAGGCCGAAGCTTCCTGCCGGCCAATGCTGTAGATAGAACGAGTGCGCAGATGGGATTTCCGTCCACATGGAGATATGGAAGAGGACGGGGGATCAGCACCGTGACCATGGTCAGCTGGGGGCGCGTCCTCTGCCTGGTTGTGGTCACCATGGCAACTTTGTCCCTGGCCCGGCCCTCCTTCAATTTAGTTGAGGGCACCACCTCCGAGCCGGAAGGTAAGTGACTACATGACCGTCCTCACGGCAGGGGGGACCAAGTTTGTTTGGGGACTGGCTTGGGGAGGGGGCGGCGGGGGTCTGGCCTGTGTGCAAATCAGCTGTACGGACATTCAGGCTTCTGAGGGCAAGTGGGGTGTTGGGGGGCTCTGATACAAGGGGCCAGGAGAGAAGGGCCTTGGACGTCCCAGGGCCGGCCGAGCGCCGAGTTTGTGGTTCTGGTGTGTGTGTGTGTGTTTCTGTGTGCTGGGAGAGAGGCAGTGTGGGCTCTGGGGAGCCCAGGAGAGCAGGGGGCACCTCCGAGGGGGCCCCGCCATGCTCCCTGCACAGCAGGAGGGCTTGTTCACCGAGTCCAGAACCGCTTTTTTTTTTTTTTTCTTTCTCTTTCCTACCCAAGGAACCCGTGGCGGGAATGTGAAATGCTGACATTTTGTTTTCATTGTGTCAGGAGGAAAAGCAGCTTCTGAAGTTCAGGGCTGGAGTCTTTTATTTAAAAAAAAAATGTGTTTTTTTTTTTGAAGCGCTTGTCATTCATAATTCTTCAGTGCTACGTCACCGGGTGGCGGCAGATACTATTTTAGGTAAAATGGAAAGTGAGCGGCGTCCCCTGCAACTCTGAGGGCTTCCAGACCCCTGTGAGGCGGCCTGGGTGTTTGGGCTTGGAAAGCAGCCGCAGACGGGCGCCAGGTGGAGGTGGGGGGTGCCGCTGAGTTTTCAGCAGGGCCAGCCGGGACCCTCGCCCAGGTCGGTCGGAGCTGGCTCTGCACGGAGCTCTGTCTGTCATCGCGGGGAATATGGGAGCCCGTGGTAATCTGAGAGCTGACTGCAGAAGTCACCTCTCAGCACCAGCCAATGAACCTGAGGGCCGGGCGCCCACCTGGTACCTCTGGGCTTGGGGGCCACCGAGCCGGAGCAGCCTGCTGTCAACTCTGCCGTTGTGCCATTGCGGTGTGACCCTCACCTGGAGGGGCCCTGGCACAGAGCAGAAAGGCCGTCCCCGGCCGCGTCTGCATGTGCTGTGATCTCACGGAGAGTGGGGTTCCCTCGGACGCCCCTCAGAGCAGGTGAAGGCAAATCTTTTCTGCTCAGGACTCTGGGTCCTGGAAACTCCCAGGGGGTAGGGTGATGGGGCTGAGGACCTCCCCACCCCCCCGCAGAGGAAGAGTTGTGGGGGTTCTATCCTGACGATACGCCAGGAAGGGGTTGGGGTCCGAGGCCATGGCCGGGTCGGGCACCTCATTGGGGCAGAATGAAGGGAAAGAGGTGGTCAGGAGACATTGGTCAGAGGCTCTGCCAGAGGGGACAGGCCTCCTGCCCCCATGCCCCGTTGGTTCTGAGCGTCAGCCTGTACTTCTTGCATTTTGAGAATCGTGACGATGGTGCTTCCCTGATTGCTCATCTTCCCTGGCTTGTACGGCTGAACCCAAGTGGCGTGATAGCTGGGGTGAGGGAATACTGTCATTTGTCATTTAGACGGACACTGAATGGAGCTTTGCTGGGAGTGGATCTCAAGGCAGCGTGGGAAATGGGCCTGCAGGACGGGCGCTTGTGCCCACCGACTTACTGAGGGTGTTTGAGGGTGTTTCGGTCGGTGTGTGAGTGGGTGGAGGGAGAGACGGAGGGCAGGAGTGGGGAGGGGCAGGTTTCCGGCCTGCAGTTGGAGCCGGCGTGCAGGGGTCTTGGGGGGACATCCCCGAATTTCTTCCAATCGCACGTGACGTTTTCTGAGGGTCCTTTTGTGCTTCTTGGGGGGGCTTGTTTTCTGGGCTCATAGTTTCAAATGGGGTTTACATCCAGGTTTTGAGATAAACAAAACAAACAAACACTGCCCTCCCGTTGTTCATCGATTTGCTCGAGCGGGCCCAGTAATGTCTCCATTTTGAGACTTGTTGTTACTGTGTTTGGCATATTGAATATGTCACGGGGAGCTTGCCAGGCTTTGCCATGCAGGTGAGATATTCTCGGTAGCTTGCCAGGCTCTCCGAGAGGGGTGGAGGAATCAAACCCGGCTTGGCCGGGCTACTTGTGTGCAAGACAAACACCCTACCACTGTGCTATCACTCCAGACCAAGTTTTGAGATACTACCAAATAAATAAATAAAAAATTAAGAGGGAAATCAAAAGCCTGCAGAGAGGAGACTTGGAAAACGTATCCACACCCCTGGACCCCGGCGTCCCCTGGTGTCGCTGGAGGGTCTGACAGAGATGGTCTTTGGAGGGTCTTTGTTGAAAGTGCGTGGATGTGAATCACCTCAGAAGCCTCCGACTCAGCCCCCGAGTCAGGTTTAAATGGGACCTGGCTGCTCCTCAGTGCTCAGGAGTCAGGATGCTTATTCCTGGGAGCACGATGCTTACCTGGCCTATGGGCTGGCCTGTCAGGAAGCAGTGCGGCTCAGGAGGCCGTCAGAGAAAGGTGTTCTCTGCTCTGCAGGCCGTGGGGTTCGCTTTCTGGTTGTGTGGGTTTGTGTTTCCAGGCAATGCTCAGGGTTGACTCCTGGTTCCGCACGTGGGTCGGGGCTACTCAACTCACGTACAGAGAAAACGTACGTTCGAAGGTTTCAGAGGTTGTTCAGCTGCAGGTGACAGGCGAATCTTTTCAGTAGGGCATGGCTGGTTGCAGGACCCTGCTGAAGGGGGTTCACTCAGCTGTGAGCCCGGGGACGGGCAGGGCGGTGCTCAGTGCCAACTACTACCACATGGATTAATAGTCATGATTAATATTCATCACTTTCCTCCTGGTGGTGTCGGGGGACCTGACGGGATGCCAGGGATTGAACCCGGGTTGGCCACATGCAAGGCAAACTCCCTCCCCGTTGTACTATCTCTCCAGCCCCCCGGGTGTGCATTCTGTGGGGTCTCCACTCCCCTTGTCTGTGGGTCCAGCCCTGACAGCTGATCGCCCCCTATGGGGCCTCCCTTGTTGCATTTTGGCTTTGGTACCCACAGTTGTCAACACAGTAACCGGAGGGAAGAGGGAAGGGGAGATCTGTGCGTCCAGGGGCCACTGCCCTCGGACAGCTCTGTTTGGGCGTTGTTCCTGTCGAGTGGGAGCTGTGTCTCCCCCGGGCATGTCCCTGTCCGTCACTCACTGCTTGGTTGAACAAGAACTGTAGTGGAATGTAGGCTCTGACAGGAGCACGTGGAATCATGGGGGTTTGCTCAGTGGAAGCTCAGTTTAGAACTGGACCCTGGGCTGGACCAGAAAGGAGCCTGGCCCTCACACTGGTGCGCTTGAGGCCCAGGGGCTTGGCTTTGGATGACGTTCCACTCTGCGTCATCATTTCCTGTCACCTGTCACCTAGACTCGACTCCCAGGCTCCTTCTCCAGGGTCCCACTGGGATTGGGTCTACTCAACTCACTTATGAGGGAGAAAACGTACTTTGGAAGACTTCGGAGGCTGTGTAGCTTGCAGGTGACGGGTGAATCTTGCCACTAGGGCATGACTGGTTGCAGGACCCACCCCAGCACTCAAATACCAACTATTGCCGGGTGGGTTAATAGTCACGATTAATATTCATGAATTCAATACCCGTGATTGATAGCAGGGTAGAGATTGATCACCCTGGGGAGAGACAAGGTTCTTGCTTTCAAGTTCTCCCTGACGTTGCCACCTTCTCTGGTTAGGCCCGTTGTTGACAGAGTACCATCTTTGTTTATATCAGCCCAGTGGGAGCTCGAATGAAAGCGCCTTTCCAACCCCACACACTTAATTACTTTTCCACACTCCACAAAGTGTGATTCTGAAAAACTGCAACCTGGGAAAATGTAGTTTGCATGGTTTTTTTTTTTTTCGACTGGTTCTGGGGAACCTTCCGAGAGAAGATGAGAGAGACACTGGGCTATGTGGAGGGTCCCGAGTTTCCTAGCAGACTGAGAAGGCATTTGGACCCCTGCCTCAGTCTCATTTCCCCTCGATGGCTGAGGCCTTTTGTTGGAAGTATCATAAATGCCATAATATCAGCCATACGCATTTAATTGCAAGTTAAAAGCAACAAGAAAAAAAAAAAAAGGAATATATCCGCATACCATGAGCGAATGATTTAAACTAATCTTCTGTTTTGTATTATCTGCATCTTTGTTCCCCAATATGAGTGTTAATATTTAAGAGTTGACTGTAACTTGATCGTTAGCTTAGGAACAAGGACTTATTCTTGAACAATTAAGCCAAATGCAGGCTTATGCAGTTAAATACACAATGAAGTACACATTCTTTATTAGTATATAAAGCATTTCACAATTCATAGACAAAGAGCCGTGTTTAATAGTACTTTTTTTTTCCCAAGCCCAAATCTGGCAAGCCGAAAGAATTGGTACTTGTGTACTTTCTATACTGGCTCCCTGTGACCCAGAGTGTGAGTGAGTGTGTGTGAGTGTGTAATCTGTTACTCTGGTATTTGGACCAGAGTTAAAACAGTGAGCATTAACTCGGCCAGAAGCTCCCACAAGGGCATAACTGAAACTTGTTTCTTTCCAACCAGATGAAGGTGAGAATTCAAACAAGCAGAGCGATTCAGTAGGAGATGTTTCCAATATCAGATTTAATGAATAATTACATGGTTATGAAATAACTAAGGGAGTGTTTAAACAGGAAGGGTTTTGTTTAACGTTCACATTCTCAATAAAACGGATCCAGTAGCCCTTAAGCTTGTGTACTTGTCTGGGTGCTGACTCAGCCAGGGTGCTTGTCTTGTTTTGTTTTGGTCCGAGTGCTGACTTAGCTTGGGTCTTCGCTAAAAGACTGCTGACCCTCTTTCCTGAATCGGGCTTAGTTTTGGGAGTCCATTTCAGCTGATTTTTCTTTTCTTTTTACTTCTCTCTTTTGAGGAGGGGCACCCCTGGCTCAGAGGTTGCTTCTGGCTCTGGCCTCAGGAATCACTCCTGGTGATGCCAGGGATTGAACCCAGGTCGGCTCTGTGCAAGGCAAGCGCCTTAACTGCTACTCTGTGTCTCCAGTCCCTGATTTTTTTTTCTTTAAAACAAAAACAAACAAACAAACAAA